AACTCACAAACATGAGTGAAAGAGAGGAACCAAGAACAACCCAAATGAGTATTAAATAACGAAGAGATATTCTGCACACAGTACTTAGTTCTAGTAGATTAGATATATATATTAATATTACATTCAGAGAACTAGAGTGAAGTTATATCCTATAACTATTCCACTGAATTATTACTACTATCACACATAGATCAACTATTATTTATAATCAATGACCAGATTGGTATCATAATGTGGAAGCTAAAAATAAATTACTATTATTTTTACTAGTTATGTGCAAACAATTGAGGTAAGCAGAATTTATTCTTACAAAAGTATGGAAATATGGTAGAGAAGAGAGTAAGAAAGGTATAAAGGAGGAAAATACAGTATAACTGGAAACAAACAAATGATAACAAGAATAATTGAGACAATACAGAATAATAGAATCATAGGAGAGTATGTTGAACACTATAGATGGTGTATCTAGGAATGGTGAGAGAAACAGTACTGGTAATAGAGATATAGTAGGATCTTGGAGATAGATAATAAATTAATGTTATGTTACTTTTAATAATGTATGGATGTAAGGTAAGAGAAATTAACTTTACTAAAATATCTAGAAGTGTGAGTGTATTGTGAAGAAGAGGGTAAGAAATGTATAAATGAACACGATAATATAGATGATAAAGTAGTATAAAATAGAATGTGATAGAATAAGGTAAGGTCTATAAAGGATGTGTCTATGAATTATTGATGGAGAAAATTTCACTGACAGAGAAAAGGTAATGATGAGGGTTCGAATGGTAGAAGAAGTGGAGTGAGGATGGAAATAGTAGATAAAATATGAAAATGGTAGTATCCTAGTGTTATATGATACACTGATGTTACTTGTATTATTGAAAGTGTCAGGAAATAAGAGAAGACGTATTTATTTTTGGAAAACTATATAAGTGTCTAGTAGTAGAGTAGGGAAGAGGGTAAAATATGTATAAAGGAGAGAGTAATAGATGAAGAATAGAATAACATAAAATGAAGGGTAAGGTGAAGTATATGAAAGGTATGTGTGTGTTGTTAAGAGACAGTGTTATGGTGAGAAAAAGGATAGCAGTGGGGTTCGAATGGTAGAAATGAGAGTGGGGATAAACATGGTGCTTAGAGTGAATTGTCAAATAACGTAAACAAGTGGTGGGATATGGGTGTAAACTAATATATTGATGTTATTTATATTATTAGAAGCATAAAATATTAGGAGAAAAGATATTTATTGTACATAGCAGTATAGGAGTATAATCATAACGTAGGGGGGGTAAGAAATGTACAAATGAGCAGGGTAATAAAAGAAAAAGCACGATAGCATGGAGTGGTGAGGAGATGCCAACAAAGTATCAAAGAATAGAAGAGAAAGATGAAAATATAAGAGAGTGTAGTGAAGACTATAAGGGAGGAATGTTGGGGATATTTAGAAAAAAGGTAGCAGTGAGGACAGATGAGTGTTAGCATAATTGCCAGATGAAAATGTCAAGTAGTATTTTATGGATGGCAGTGTAAACTGATTGTAGTACGAGCAGAGAATTATAAAAACATATATATAATGAAAAGAATTAGATTGTGTATTGATATGTGTTGTGTATTAGATAAGTGGAAGAAAAGAGATTTAGAGTACTACTGACATGCTAGTGTATCTGAGAACTTACAATGGTAGCAATATGGAATTGTAATTCGTTAACCTAAAGAAAATGTTCATAGAGATATCAATACAGAGACATTATGCCAACAGGGTGTGATATTAGTTTGTTTATGTTTTTATGTTCTGTTATAACGATCATTACTGTACAGCTCCTAAATCTTAGCAGGATATGAGGTTGAGACAATTTTCAATGTTTATGAGTTAATGCATAGGAATACATCAACGTTAGTTTCGTTTCATCCTTTTGCTACTGTTGTGTTTGAAGGTGTGTGTACAGTACTTTGTGTACATGTCTATCTAGCTGCTATACAAAGATTCATTTGAAAAATAAAGAATAGTCTTGTACAGGTTTACCTAAAACATATTTTTATGTGTGCTTAGAGAATATAGTATGACAGACATAAGAAGGTTATAGAATAATTATTATAGAGCTAAGCAATAAGGCAATTCTACGGGATGTGTACCTTTGTGAACATGATAAAATATTACTTTCAGTGATGTATTTTTACGACTGTAAGATGGGCTAGATTATTGTAAAGTGATAAGAGAACACAGATATTCCTATTGTGAAACGTCAGAGTGGGGTCACTTATGGTGTTTGTGAATCGATACTGTTGATGGAACAGCAATGATGAATATACAAGAAACATACAATAGAGAGATTGGTGGTGACGACAGATTGTAGAGGATTAAGCATAGTCAATAATGATATTTTAGTTGTGGTAAGAGTTCGATAATTATAGTATTGTGGGGATAAAAATATACAAAGGGAGAAGAATAAATCAAAGAAAACAGTAGCATGAAGTAATAGAATAATGTAAACAAAATGTCAAAGGATAAAAGAAAAAGAATCGACATATACAAAGTATAGTGATGTCTATAAAGGATGTATCTCTGAAGTGTTAAGAGAGAGTACTAGTGATAGAGAAAAGGTGACGGTGAGGGTTCGAACGGTGGAAGAGGTGGAGTAAACATGGAAATGATTTAATATTTAGAAGAGATGGGAGAGTGGTGGTATACTAGTGTTAGAGTTTCTAAACAGGGGAACTCTTTTTGGAGTGATATGAAATAGAGATAAAATAAAGTAACTTTTAGTATAGAGAAGCGAGTAAAGGTATTTTTAATAAGAGCAAGAGAAGATAGAATTGGAGCAGTTGTGATATGTTAGTATAAACAGCAGAGAACATATAATGCCACGTATGACATAGACAAGGTGTGGGTGACAACTTACATGTCATGAGGGAGCAGTATGAAATGTGTATTTATAAGTATTTGGCCACTATGTTAAATAATACAGATGGTATGTGCATAAAGTGATGGGTAAAAAGAATTATTTGTAGGTTGTATGTGTTGAGTAAGTATAAAAAATTTAGTGAGTTTTGATTGAGTGTGGGTAATATGTCAACACCTGTCCTTCAACAGTACTCAATGAGCTTACCTTATGTGCCCGGTTCTTTGGTGCTCTCTTATCATATAATTGGAGAAGTTGATGGCAGATAATTAAGTGATTGTGGTATTATTTAGAGATTGTATATGTCTATTATATACAAAGATTGATAGTATTCCTGATGTTATAGAGTGTTGTGTTGTGGATGAGATAATGAGAACGGTAAAAATAGTGCAGAAATATAGAGGAACAGTGAAGCATTGTACAATCATAAAATACATAAACATAAAACGAAATATTGATTACATTGGAAATAGGGGTGATTGCAGAATAATACTTTAGCAAGGAGACACAAACAATATTGATGGATGTAATAATGAAGAAATGCTTACAATGGGATATTGGTGGCAGTATAAATATATGTAAGATTGCTTGGTGATGTGAGTATGAAAAGTGAAATGAATATTAGAGAGGGATGGAGTAGAAAGTATTGTAAGAAGAGAAGATATATAGTAAAAAGAGCTATTGAGATGAGAAGCAAGATAGTAGAAGTAAGTCAGTGGTAGAGAGAGGACAAGGATATGTGGATTAGAATGGGGCGAGTGGTGTTAGAGTTGTAAAAACAGGATGGGCAAGGAAGAGAAGGGAGAGTATTAGGATATTGGATAGATAATTTGAAATTAAGTGGACAATGTAGATCAGGATGGATGAAAAAGATTGATGGTTGCTGTGTAAAAGACATTCTACTCTAAGGATACTTAGCTGATATGGAAGTAAAGGGAATGTTTGTAGTGGATGATTGTGACCTTAATGGATGAACAGATTAGATATTTTGTTTATATGTTGGTTTAGTCTTCTCTTTGTACATATGTGTTGTATGCAAGTAACCAATGTATCTTCTTACATCTTGTTCTTTTATGCATCGATACACCACATATAACATTATTGCCATAATAACTGCTTAATTAACAAAAAAGTTGTTTAATATACAATGCTGATGGTAATAATTACAGCAGTTTGAGATATATAAAATAAGCGAGAGCAGGATATAAAGAATAAGAATTAAGTGGATGTGAAGGGAGAAGAATAGAGTAAAATGGGAGAGGTGTGAGGGGGCAGTAGAGGCCAATGATAGCGGGAATATGAGGGAGTAAATAGAAAAGAAGAAAAGAAAACAGGCAGAGGTTTAAAATTAAGCAGGGTGGATGTTAAGAAGAAAGTAAATTAAGGTTGAAGTGATAAATATAGAAAATGGGATGAGAAATGTTGGAAAGTAGTGGCATTTGTAGTTAATAGTGTGATGACTTAAGTTGTTAGTAGATTGGATGTGTGGTTTATTAAACACCTATAAAAATAATATACGTAATTATATAATATGATATATACAAATATAAAATGATCTCTCTTCTTGAAAAATATATTTCTCTTGTGAATATTATTAACAAGATACTAAAAGAGTCTTTAGTAAAGAAACCTAATAGACATACTTTCTATGTTCTCATACCCCGTAAAGAGTGTTTCATAAGCTTTCATGACTGAACCCAGTTTTACTCAAAGTAATGCTACTTTCCTTATTCAGTCATACAAAACACATCCTCTGGCTTGATATCACCCTTTAAAATGTTAATTATTCTAGAGAAGTTTCCCCACGTAGTCTCTTTAGTAAAAGGGTCTGCTATATTATTTTCCCTTTTTATTTTAAATGTATCAATAGACCTATCTTGTGTTTCTTCTTTTGATTTTTCCAGTCTGAGTCCTATGAATTTTGTTCGTGTTTTAAAGTAGTCCTGTTTGAGTCAATCAATGGCTGGTGTAGAATCTGTTATTACATTAATGTTTGTATTTATATTTTAAAGATTCCTTTTATTTTACATTTTAATAAAACAGCTTGATCTTCCCCCATGGTTGGAGCATCCAGTTCAGCTTCTGCTGATGACCCACAAACTATAGTGGATTTTTTGGAAAAACCATCATAAAAATTTTTACCAATCCATACGATAACACCACGTCAAACTCAGATCCCAATGATACATCTGCAACCACTGTGATGTCCAATTTATTCTCCTCGTCGCTTCTTATATATCTGGTATCATTAACATACTTCAACAATGTTTTGACTGCTTTAATTACTTTAGGATGAGGGAACAATACTAGACGTAACAGCTTGCCTAAAGCAAATTCTATATCTAATCTTCCTCTTGTTCTAATATAATTGAGTTTTCCAATCAATACTTGAAGCCATTTTATTTTTTCTTTTAATGTAGATTTCTCCATGACCAATTTATGTGTTTTGGGATATATAGCATACTTATGAAGGTTAGGTACGCTATTAGTTTTTTTCTATTTAGATACAATCTCTTTATATTCTTCAAACATTTTTCAATATATCTTGTAATATGCAACTGTATGGTTCCGTTTTCTCTGTTATAATTTAAATCTAAACCTGAGAGACCCGTTTCTAGTATATCGTGTTTCATAAAACCCAATTCTTTTAAAGCAAACTTGTTTTTTAGAATAGTCTATGTTGATCTAAAATATCAGCAACATACACAGCTCTCATAATTGATTTGTCTTCGAACACAAATAAACCAGGAGAATAAATAAAGTCATGCAGACCAATAGAATTCGTAAATTGTTCCAATGAATTATTCCAGTTCTATGGACTTTTTAAGGCCATACTTCTAACTTTCAAATGTATTTTGTCTTGCCTCTAAAGATTCCACATGATCCAAGTGACCTTTAATGTATATATATCTGAAATGCACCAGGAGAGTCTTAAAAATATTGATCATCTGTTGTCAATTGTTACACATATTTTACCCTTCTCTTTCTTCTAGTGTCATGTTACACCCTTGTGAAATATAATGATTTATTTTGGTTCTAATTTTCTTAAAACATTACTGGAACATTGGACAGTTGATGTTTCAGGCGTTTTCAATTTTATTTTATTTCTGGTGAGCTCAGTTACAGCATGCAATAAGGCAAGATATAAAAACTATTTGAAGAAATGGATAGATTATTCATATCGGTGGTGGGTTAGACATTGTGATAGAGTGGGTCTGTTAAATCAATAATAATAGTATACTAATACTTCTTCTGTGTATGATAATTATACATACTATAAGTCCAGATATGAATAATCTAATCTTAATTTATTTTTTACAAGACAAAAAATATTGGCTGATGTAGTAATGTGGTGGTGTCTCCAATATAGATAACATGGACATCTATGTATAGGGGACAAGGATATTTCGAATAATGGAACAAACGGATAGTGGGGGAAGAAAGGTGCGTAGGGGCCAAAATGTAGTGATACGGTATATACTCTTAGAAAGTATTAAAGATATGTATTTATCAGTTATACCCCTTAAAAGCATATTATCAGCTTACTTCTCTATATAAAAGAACGTAATAAAAGATATGGTAAAACCCAAAGAGCCACAAGAAAAGAATAGCTTCCTCTTAAATGAGATGCAGGGCTACGACGATATTGAACATTGATGCTGTTGTATGAGATTATCTCCCAAATATATTTTCTAGGGTTTCTGTATAAATCTTCCTAACAAGTAAATTTATAATTTTCTTGAAAACAGTGAAGATTAAGAAAAGTGACAAGAACGTTAAAATGAAATGTGTGAGATTACAAGAGTGGGAAACAAACATAAAAAAGGCAGAGAAAGGCAAATACTACAATATATTGAAAGAGAAGAAGATGTGTGAGAGTAGAAGAGTAGGGGTGAGTATAGGTATTGTGAGAGGAGGTAAATGAGGGCAGAGAAGTAGTAGAGGAGATGGGGGAATGTATGGAAATATAGATAATATGGTGAGAGAGAAGGTAAATATACATATTATAATGGAATATCTCTTAGGAAAAGGTAGAATGGTACACGGTAATAAGTGGTGAGGTAAGGAGGGTGTATGGGTGTTAGAACATAGAGTAGTAAACAAGTAGAGTAGATTAAGCTGAAAATAAAGAGGAGATGGAAGGATAAATAGAAATATAGATAATGTGATGACAGAGAATGTTAATATTTATATTATAATGGGATATCTCTTGGGAAAAGGTAGATTGGTACAGGGTGAAAAGTGGTGAGGTAAGGAGGGTGTATGGGTGTTAGAACATAGAGTAGTAAACAAGTAGAGTAGATTAAGCTGAAAATAAAGAGGAGATGGAAGGATAAATAAAAATATAGATAATAGTGATGACAGAGAATGTTAATATTTATATTATAATGGGATATCTCTTGGGAAAAGGTAGATTGGTACAGGGTGAATAAGTGGTGAGGTAAGGAGGGTGTATGGGTGTTAAAATATAAGGAAGTAAACAAGTGGAGTAGATTAGGGTGAAAAGATAGAGAAGATGGAAGGATAAATAGAAATATAGATAATATGATGACAGAGAATGATAATATTTATATTATGATGGATGGTTTGGAGAAAAATGGTAGATTGGTACAGGGTGAAAAGTGGTGAGGTAAGGAGGGTGTCTGGGTGTTAGAACATAGGGGAGTAAACAAGTACAGTAGATTAGAGTGAAAATAAAGAGGAGATGGAAGGATAAATAGAAATATAGATAATATGATGACAGAGAATATGAATATTCATATTATGATGGTTAGTTTGAAGAAAAATGGTAGAATGGTACAGGGTGAAAAGTGGTGAGGTAAGGAGGGTGTCTGGGTGTTAGAACATAGGGGAGTAAACAAGTACAGTAGATTAGAGTGAAAATAAAGAGGAGATGGAAGGATAAATAGAAATATAGATAATATGATGACAGAGAATATGAATATTCATATTATGATGGGTTAGTTTGAAGAAAAAGGGTAGAATGGTACAGGGTAAAAAGTGGTGAGGTAAGGAGGGTGTCTGGGTGTTAGAACATAGGGGAGTAAACAAGTAGAGTAGATTCGGGTGAAAATAGGTGTAGAGAGGGAGTGATGTATGGAAATATAGATAATGTGATGACAGAGAATGTGAATATTCATATTATGATGGGTAGTTTGAAGAAAAAGAGTTGATTGGTACACGGTTATAAGTGGTGAGGTAAGGAGGGTGTCTGGGTGTTAGAACATAGGGAAGTAAACAAGTGAAGTAGATTAAGGTGAAAATAGGTGTAGAGAGGGAGTGATGTATGGATATATAGATAATGTGATGACAGAGAATGATAATATTTATATTATGATGGGTAGTTTGAAGAAAAAGGGTAGAATAGTACAGGGTAATAAGTGGTGAGGTAAGGAGGGTGTCTGGGTGTTAGAACATAGATAAGTGATATAAGAGGGAAAGTAAGAAATAAACAGATGAAAGAGTAGTAAGGGGTATGGGGAGATGATGAGAAGATGGAGAGTAGTGGTGTTTGTGTTAAATAGAGAGATGTAAATTGGAGGTGTGGATTATTAGAAAGGTATAGAAATAATACAGATAAGTTAACATGTTTATACATGAACAGAATTTGAGTGTCTTGTTGAAAAATATAATTGTGTTTTGATTATTATTAACAAGATAATAAAAGAGTGTTTGATAAAGAAAGGTCATAGAGTGAGTGTGTATGTTGTAAGAATAAGGAGATTTTAGATATGGTAAGGGTTGGATAATTATAGTGTTGTGGGGAAAGGGAGAGATTAGTGGTGGTGAAAATGGGAATGTTGGTATAAAATGTATAAAAGGGGAGGGGAGAGTATGGATGAGAGAAGAAGTAGAGAGAGTAGGAGAGGGTGGTGGTGAGTAGTAGAAGATAAGTTAGAGATATTTTAGTTTTGGAGAGATAGAGAAAAGAAGATATTAGGATAAAGAGAATAGAAAAGAGGAATAGAGGAGAGTAAGAGAAGGGAGTAATGAAAAGAAGTAGAAGAAGTTGATGAGTAGTGAGATAGTGGGAGAAATATAGTAATAGAAAAAAGACATGAGAGAGGGTTCGAACAGTGGAAGAGTAGAAGGTATTGATGAGTGATAAAGAAATAAAAGAGAAAAGGCAGCAATTGGGATTCGAACAGGGGAAAAGAGAATAGTAATGAAAGTGATGATGGGAGAAATATAGTAGTAGAAAAAAGGCATCAGAAAGGATTCGAACAGGGGAAGAGGAGAAGATAGAGATGGGTAGTAAAGAAATAAAAGAGAAAAGGCAGCAATTGGGATTCGAACAGGGGAAGAGTAAAAGATAGAGATGGGAGAAATATAGTAGTAGAAAAAAGGCATCGGAGAGGATTCGAACAGGGGAAAAGAGTGGGAGATAGAAGTGATGATGGGAGAAATATAGTAGTAGAAAAAAGACATCAGAAAGGATTCGAACGGTGGAAGAGTAGAAGGTATTGATGAGTTGTAAAGAAATAAAAGAGAAAAAAAGCGGCGATGGGGATTCGAACAGTGGAAAAGTAAAAGATAGAGAAGGGAGAAATATAGTAGTAGAAAAAAGGCATGGGAGAAGATTCGAACAGGGGAATAGAGAGTAAAAAAAGAT